CAACCCTTTCCATGAATATTTAATTGGCTTTTAAAAGGAAAATTACCATGATTCTAATACATCACTTGTTTTAAAAAATGTTTTCAAAATACTTCTTTCATTCCTGCCCTACATCCTTCATCAGTAGTCCACTGAAATGCATAAAAGGTTAATAAAAGGTTAATGAATGCTATACAAAAGATTAATAAGAGTCTGAATAAATAAATAATTTTATATATTCTTTAGATGTTAGTGAAAAAATTCTGTTCTGGTTTGCAGTCAATGGGATCATTGACTTATATGGGACCACAAATGGACTACAGTTTCATATTCATTTATCATTCTGAATCTACTTTGAGTTTTCCAGGAAAGGTGAAATTTAAAACATCTGTAATAGCTATGTATATGCAAGTGACTAGATGGCTCATGGGATAGGAGATCTAAAATATTACCATTTTCTCTTTATATCAGTTGATTATACTTAGCTGCCAATTGCCATTCAGAGGGCACTTGTGAGGAAGAATTGACTGTGTTTCCTAAATAAGTAGCACTTTTCCACAGCATGGAAAACTCTCCATGACAACACATCAGTTGCTACCTTACTAACTTGCACAGCTAATGAAAATAATCTAGAGAGGAACAATGAATAGTACCTTTATTTTATTGAGCTGTTGATAATTCTCAGTGAATAAACAGAAGACATCTTGAGTGGTTAGTTCCCTTGCTACTGGAGAAATCAGGTGCAGTAGCAGTGCAGAAGAAACTGCTGGGCAAATTATCACTATTTCAGATTCTTTATTTGTAACATTGCTAATCTGATTTTTTCTGAATGCCAGAAAATTTCAGAAGACTATTTATGTTTGTACCTTTGCGCAGGAGATGATAAAGAGATGACAGGCTGAGGTGTCTGACCTCTTTTGAGCTTTACCGTCAGTGCCTTGTTGGAAAAGATTTTGGTTCTATTAGGGCAGCAGGGAAAGCCAAATTTCAGACAGACCCTCAGATTAAGTACCATATATTTCTGTTTTTGTTGTGCACTTGTCAGGTATTGTCTGAGGTACAGAACATGAATGTGCCCCTCCATAGCCTCAGTCTCTTCTTCCTTTCTCCCTACTTTGACATTCAGCTTACCTTTAGAATATATCCTTAGGGACAGAGATTTTCACATCATGATATTCCTTTGGTGAGGCCTGATCTTTGCTACCTCCTTTCCCTTTTAAGGTTTCTTCCCCTGCTTCTTTTCATTTATGGATTTTGGGTGTTCTGTGACTCCGTCCAGTCCTCCCTCACAGCATCTCCAGTATTCTGCACAGGACATGAGTTTCTGTAAACAGTGCAGCTTGAAATGTTTCAAAAAATTCAGGCCTTAATTTCAAACTAGAGCCAGATGGTTTAGGAACTCAAAAGTTATTGTTTCAATACAGTGTTGTTTTTAAGTACAGTAAAAACTGCCTAGTAAGGTATCTTGAATTGTCTTGCAGGTTGTGGACTCCCTGTCTTAGGAGGTGTTCAAGATCAAGCTGGATAAGGCTCTGAGTAAACTGGTCTAGTGGAAGGTTCCCTGCCCATGGCAGGGGATTTGGAACTAGGTGATCTTTAATGTCCCTTTCAACCCAAACACTTCCATGATTCTACTGCAGAGGAGGTGGAAATAAAGCAGAGATACATCAGCACCTTTAGAATAACGAAGTTACCTTTAATGGCTGACCCTTCTGTCACGTGGCTGCTGTAAGCCAAAAATCAGTGCAGGCCTAAGCAGGAGATGTCACTTTTCAGGTCCATCCATGTAGTCCAGCGATGAAGTTCAACTCCTGGCCCTGCACAGCACCATCCTGAGGAGTCACACCCTGTGCCTGAGAGCATTGTCCAAATGCTTCTTGATCCCTGGCAGCCTTGGGGCTGTGACCACTGCCCTGCAGAGCCTGTTCCAGTGACCAGTCACCCTCTGGGTGAAGAACCTTTTCTCTCTCATGCAGGGTTTCTAAGCAAAAGCAACTTGTAATTTTCCATGTGTCCTCTGATTTTACTGATACACTTGCTGGGCAGCTGAAAAGTTTAGATAGAAATTATGGCCATAATGGATTTATCTTAGGCAGCTGCTATCAAACTGTGTTTAACTAGCCAAAGCAAATGTATGTTAGTCAACTCACAAAAAAAATTTGAGTAGAATCTTATGTATAGTCGCCAACATGTGGAGTTACTGTAGATAAATAAGTTTTAAAATTATGTGCCACAGTGTTTACATTAAAATACACTGATACTTGCATCTTAATTACACAGGTTTCTGCTAAATGATTTCAAATTAGTGTAGGAAATGAGCATTTCAACAACAACTTCCTAATTTAGTCTAAAAAAATATGACCAAGAATTTCTTTACATACATTGTTTTATAATGCAACACAGAAGTCTCCCAGAATTGGTAATTCACTTAATATAATTACAGTTATGCAGAAAAATTAGGCAAATTTAACTGGAAATACTCTTTTAAAAATCCACTTATAAAAAAATAGTCCGTGTATATAGATAGTAGTTATTTTTCAAGCCTATCACTTCATTAGTTTAAAACAAAAAATCCCAAATACAGCTGTTTCCATATACCCAAGCTGCTTAGATTGGACCATTTTATTTTAAATATTGGAAAGCCAATTCTGAAAGACCCTCATAGGCTTTAAATACAAAAGCATCAGACTAAGAACAGTGATTTTCTGAAGTCTGGGTGTGAGAAAGCTGATCATGGCATATGTATGCGTCAAAGATGAATAAATACAAAAACTTAAAATTCAAAACACCAGAAATCTCATACATAATTTTATTTATTTATTTATTAAGGATGTAAAAGATTCAAATGTCAGAACTGTAATGTTGGAATTGTTTATAATGTCAAGTGATGCATGTTACATATTCTTTCTATATTCCATTGATCAGACAGAACCTGGGATAATAACTGTAGATGATGGAGTACATTTCATGTGCAAATGGACATGGATTTGAAGTGAATTTTGAAGAAAAACTCTTTCGTATTGAAGTCTTAACAACTGTTTTGTTCAACTTGCACCAATTCTTCCACAAATTATTTTGCTTAATTCTGATATTTCTGATAGGCAACGGTAATTAATATTAGTGTGATGCCTGCAGGGCATTGTCACACAAGGAGAACTTAGTCTTATGATATAATGTAGTGATTTGATAAAACTTGTTACAGACTTGAGAGAATCAATCCCGATAGAACCAGAAAGAACTATAGTTTTCCCTTTGCACACATTTCATGCCATTCCATTACAGTTCGTAGAATTAGTCTTGTTATATACAAAGTAAGGTTGTGCTTTGAGCCTGCTTTCCTAAAAAAATGAAGAATATGTAATCATGCCATCTGCAAATGCCTTCCCTGCAGTCCTGGCTACCACCTTCAGAGATAATTGCAAGTCAGCTTGACAGGAGGTAGAAATCTCAGAAAGACTCCATTGCTAAAAGCTTTCACCCAGATATTTGGGCAGGGCAAAGATACCTAAATTACTCAGGAAAAGGCTGTCTGTTTTGCAGAAGTACAAGTGACACCATATCTCTTACCTTTTGTTTCATACAGCCATGGCAAAGAGCCCAGTAAAAACATTTTTTTGCAAAGGAGTACATACAAGTCAAAGGACACAAATCTCTGGGAGTGCTTACAAAATTATTTGGGTTTTGCTGTTCTTTGAACTTCTAATTTTGCTTTACAAAGACAACAAAATTTAATTCCAACACTTTTATAAAAGGTTAATTTAAAATAAGAGTGGCTGAACCCTGGAAAAAACATCAAAATATGACATTATTTTAATTAACAACTGTAACAAAATCAAGAGTAGTAGAGAGCTTTTTAAGGAGGATACACATCTTGGAATATTGAGCTAGCTGAAGTGTTTCCCAGAGACCTTAATCCAATTTTGAGTACTGATTAGAGCAAATGTTAGGTTAATACAAAGCAGGCTTTGTTCTTAATACATCTGGATAGAACACAGTCCTACCTAAAAGTTTGTGCCCACACTTTAGATAGTACGTTAAAGAACACTTTATTAAAATAAAAAAAAATATTAACTTTGTGTCTTCTAGAAAACTTGCAGTTTACATTATTTCCATTATTTTATTGATTAGTCTGAACAGAAGAGAATGTGCTGTTTTCAGTTTGGATAGTGGTAATTTTCTTCATAGTACCTGGCATGAGACTGTGTTTTGGATTTGTGACCAAAACAATATTGATAATACAAAGATGTTTTCATTACTGCTGAGAAGCACTTGCACAGTGACAAGTCCTTTTCTGCCTCTCACCCCACCCCACCACTGAGAGGGCTGGGGGTGCACAAGGAGCTGTGAGGGGACAGAGCCAGGACAGCTGGCCCCAAACGACCACAGAGATGTCCCACACTATGTGGAGTCACGTTCTGCATATAAAGCTGGGTGAGAAGAAGGAAGGAGGGGATGTTCAAAGTGATGGCATTTGTCTTCTCAAGTCACCTTTATGCTTGATGGATCTGTGTTTTCCATGGAGATGGCTGAACATCTTCCTGCCTGTGGGAAATACTGAATGAATTCCTTGCTTTGCTTTGCTTGTGCACATTTTCTTTCCATATTAAGCTGTCTTTATCTCAGACCACAAGTTATCTCACTTTCACTCTTCCAATTCTCTTTTCCATCCCACTAGAGTGGAGTGAGTGAGCAGCTAGCCAGGCTTTGACAACAACATGTTCATAGATATCTAGATGACAGAGACTTTTATTGCATCAAATATCTTTTCTATTATATGCAGGCAAAAGTTGTTGGGTTTTTTCTTTTTCCTTTTTTTTTTCTTCCTTTGGCTGCCACAGTCATTAGTAAGGAACAGAATAAAGGAAATAAAAGGAGATATAGAAAGATAGAAAATTGTTAGTCCTGGAGAAGGCTGCTCAGTATTGCCAGGGCAGGCTTTGACAACATCAGCCTCTCTGAATGTAGCAAATATTATCTTTCTTGAGATTATGAGACAGAGACCACCTCCATGACTGGATCCTTCAGACACTGTTTCTCCTGCCGTTCTGTATGACTTTGAGTACGTTGGAAAGGTCAAAACTTTTCGTAATCAATTCCATTAGGTCCTCGTCTTTTTCCACACCATTGATAAACTCTTCTAAAGTCAGTTCCCCTAAAAGAAAGTCAGATAGTCTTTAGAAGCTGGGAAACACAGCAACCTCTCTAGTGAATAAAAGACCATTCACGCCAAATTGAATCCCTTATGGAAGTCGCTGATAGGCAAATGCAGATAGAGTATTTGCTAATGTTTTCTCACTTGGTATCAGTCAGATCCTCACTAGTTTTTCTGTTAAAACAGGTCAAACACAGCTTTCACTGAAGTCGGAAGCAATTTAAGTACTCATAAATGTGTGTAAAGGGTCTCTGAAGTCTGTATCAGGGCTGAATTTGGATGTACTGGCCACTTCTCACTGCGCTAATTGGAATTTATATTAGAGCTGGTTTTAAAAGAGATTAGGGTGTGATTTGCTAAGGATTAGTGGTCATAGTCCCTGTGTTGACTACTAGGATTATTTAGAGCCATTATCAGATGTAGGGAAAAAAAATTAACTAAGTGGTTTGATAGATAAATTCTTTCAAGGAACTGAAATTGCCATTTAAAGTGTGATTTTTTTGGGCTCATGTCAAAATCAGCTAATAAGTTTCAAGACAACAATAAAATCGCTTTTATTGAAGAGTAGGAATATTGTTTAATGTTCTTCCTCTTTTCCTGCTCTTTCCCCTGTCAATAAAGGCCAGTTCTAGGCAAGTGTCTGTTTGCATTCTGTGTAGACACAGAAATGTCCACAGTTCTCTGTCTAGGGGTTATTCCAGTGATACTGTTTTACTGTAAGAGGAGAAATAAATCATGGTTTAATAGGAAGAGCCAGATTGTTTCCTCTGAGAATGGTTTAAAGTTTTTTGTTAAATTCACAACAATGAATGATTTCTCTGTAAAATTAGAAATTACAAGGGCCAGGCAAAGAGGAAAATAGCTGGATGAGATAAGGCCCCCAGGATGTAGGGGAGCAGCAGTTTCAGTCCTGTATGTCTGGCAAATGCTAGTGTGCTGACTTTTGGCTGTTTTCAGGTTTAAGTAGTCCCTGTAGGGTTTGTTTTTTTTTTTTGGTCTGTGTGTGTCTTGCTTTTTGTCCATGGCAGCCTTGGAAACATCATCTGACATGAAAAAGGAAAGCTATCAGCATTTGAAAAATGTAAAAACCACTTCCTAGCCATAGTCAGTAAAGTTTGCTTTCTGTTTAGTCACATATGTCCTTGCTACACTGGTGACAGGCTCATATAAAGAGGAAAGTCATCATTTGACAGAAGTCCTGGTTCTTAGGCTTCTCCAGGGGCTAGCATGCAGAGCCCTGAGGAAGTTTGTACTTCCTTTTTCAACAACAGCCTATATAACCATTCCACAAGCAGACTCAGAACAAGCCATCTCTGTACACTTCCATGCACCATCCTGCTTCATCACTAATCCACTCACTTCCTCTAAACTCTCCTCCTATCCTAGACACTCCTCTTAGTTCCCCTCTCCTTCACTCAGTATTGTCTTTGACTCAGGTCTTCGGGTGGATGGGGTTCCTGGACTCATCACATGGACATGCTGCCCCATTTTCCTGCTTATTCAGGTCAACTGGTCTTGGATTCCCTCCTCTTGATCCCAAGCTGTGCATTTTGAGGTACCAGTAGCAGGCATACAAATCACACTGCAGTTGCCAGATGAGGTTACACTGGCAGGCCCAGACTCACTCCTGCTGCTGTGATGGGCCTCAGATTTCTGTGAGGTAATGAAAATAAATTCCAAAACAGACAGGAAGTTTGTTTTAAGAATTCTTCTTTACAACCCACGGGATTATTTATTGTATATTAATGTCAGGAAGGACTTTGCAATTTGTTTGTCTATTTTCACTTTAATAAGCTACAGGGAGGTAGCATAGTTGAAGCTAAATTTGGTAAAACTTGGCCTATTCCTTAGGTCAAGCTAGTCCTGTTGCTTTCCATAACTAAGAAATTATGGAAAACAGTTTGAAAAGGAACCACTATGAAGATAATCCTCAATATGTCATGTTTCAGATTTTCCTTGCTAAAATGTATGACACTAATGATGGTCTAGCTCACATACAACTATTACTTGCCAGTAACGTATGGTCAAAGCAGTGAATAATCATAGAATTTGGGTTAGATTTTGACTGTGTTATTTGGACTCCTTTCATAATTTGTCTTCACCAAAGAGTGGGCCAAGGAGTTGGGTCAAAAAAATCCTCCACTAAGGCATCCTCCACATGTATCACAAGGATACAACTATTACTTGCCAGTAAATGTATGGCCAAAGCAGTGAATAATCATAGAATTTGGGTTAGATTTTGACTGTGTTATTTGGACTCCTTTCATAATTTGTCTTCACCAAAGAGTGGGCCAAGGAGTTGGGTCAAAAAAATCCTCCACTAAAGCATCCTCCACATGCATCACAAGACCCCTGTTTATACTCTGATTATATATTGCAAACAACTTTTTAAAAGAGTAACCTCAATACACTAAATAAGACCATAAAAATGCCCCTGTCTTTGTCAAACTGCCCAAAATTCCTGCCTGTGACCTGACTTTTCTTGTTTTAGCTTTCCTAATGTTCCTAATTTATCAATGATTGCAGCAATTGCTGTAAAACTTAGTTGCCAGTGGAAGGATTATCTTCATGATTAGAAGTATGAGGGCGGACATTTATCTGTAACAAATTTTCAATTAGAAACAACTCTTAAGCAGTGAAATGAAATTATAGTTTCCAAATGCAAGACCAATTGGCTTAATTTAGTATCTTGTGAGGGAGGACATTTATCTGTAACAAATTTCAATTAGAAACAACTCTGAAGCAGTGAAATGAAATTATATTTTCCAAATGCAAGACCAATTGGCTTAATTTAGTATCTTGAAGAAAAACCAGGAGCATGTATCTTAGCATGCGTTGACAGTCAGCCTTCAAGGAACATCCAATATGCCCACCAGTCTTTAGAACATGCTAGAGCGTGTGCAACCATGCATCCTATTTGGTTTTTTTTTTAAGCATTTAAAATAGATTATACCAACACAAATATATTACTCCCGCACTACCAATGATGCTTTCATTTTGCTATGCAACCTGAGAAACTGGCATTTTGGATGAACAGTGCAGGAGCTGTTTTTACTGCATGTAATTACTGCATGTAATTACTGGTTTGTTTTTCTTGGTCAGTTGGCTTACACTCCACTGTAAAGCTGAAGTAAAATAAGGGCAGAGAAGAGCAGATTCCGGCTTTCACTTATCTAAACCAGTCATCCTTCAGCTGCATGTTCAAATCCCTTTTTGCCGAGGAGTCCCTGCCAATGCCAACAGAACCTAGATTCTTACCGTCATTGTTCACATCTATCTTCTGAAATATCATGTTTGTGAACTCTTCAGCACTCATGTTGGTGTAGCCATTAATAGCCTGGATTGCCTGAGGGCAGAAACACAGAAAGTTCTTTCAGATTTTCCCCATCAAGCTGTGAAAACAATACAGTGCCAGAAGTAGTACTTGAAGTGCAACTCTTTAGTTCACAAACCCTTTTGAAAATCACCAAATAAATAGCTACTTCAAGTAAATCATCAGTAATAAAGACTGGGAATTTAATTAACGTAACACGGCCTAGAGATTGCAGACTAATTTGCATATCTCTGAAGGTCTGAAGACCCCAGTGGCACCTCTGCTCTGTAATTCACTTTCAATTCCACATCAGCATTTTTATCTGGCCCTAGAGAGTTCCATGCCTTCACAGAGTGCCCTTTGGTCTGTGTGATTTAAATGCAGTATTGTTTTTCCCATCTGAAAGCACATGCAGAGAAAGCCTAAGTAATTTTTCTATTAAGACATGTTTAATTTAGTAATCACAAATAAAGTCAGACCAGCTGTCCTGGAAGTTGGCAGTTTACTTGTCCTCCAGAGAAGTTAAGCAAACCAGAAGAATTCCCTCTACTTTTTTACTATTTTTTTTTGTTTTCTTTTGTTTTGGGGTTATTTTTTGGTGTTTTTTTTTTTGTTTGTTTTTTTTTTTTTTTTTTTGGGTTTTTTGGTTTTTTTTTTTTTTTTTTTGTGTGGCAAAAAAACTAAATATTTGGAGTAAAGGTATAAATGTATGCTTTTGCAAAATTGTGTCCCATTGACTGGGAAAATATGTGCCTATATAAACATGCCTATGCATTATATAATGGGCACACTACAGAATTTGTTTTTCTGCACTTGAATTATCTTGAGGTGAACTGTGTTGTCTAAGGTAAGTCACTGTATGTGCCACTTGTTTCTTTTGGTGTTTCTTTCCAAATATTATATTAGACCTCACAATTTAAAACAATCTATTCAGCACTGATACAGAATTCTTGACCAAATAATATCATAAAAATGCCCCCTCCAAATGTCCCAAATTCTGCAGCAATAATTTTACAAAAATAGTTTCATAAACTTGTTTCTATTACTAAGTCATACTTTAGATACTTTTGGTGTTTTATATGTCTGACCCTCGTGCAGTCTTAAGTAAAAAGTTGTATCCCTTCCGCAGTTAAATTTATTGCAGTGCCAAGAGTAAAGCAGTGGTTCCTGAAGTATTTGTGTCACCGACTACCACAGAAGCCCCTTAAACAGTAAAATACTGGGTGTTGAAAGGGTGCATGGTTATCTGGAAGTTTTGGTGGTTGGTATTGATATGCTGGTCCATAGTTTGCATAGCTGTAGAGACAGATTTCATTTTAATAGCACTTCTGTGTTTCTAAATTAATGTCTCAGATATGATGCATTTTTTTTGGACAAGCCCTTCTTTACTGATGTTTTTTATAAGCTGGGCACCCCTTAATGGCTGTGAGCCTGTTTGTTCTTTTGTCCTTTTTGGGCCCACCATTTTTAATCTAGTCTATGTCAATGATTTAGGCAGATTTGAGTTAAAGTTCCTATACTCCAAAAGAGATGGAAACACACAGAGGTATAAACTAGTTTTAAAACCAGGTAAGTTAAAAAATAATTATTCTTTACATTGGAAGGATTTTCATTTTAATTCACATTTGGATAAAGCCCCAGAGAAAACACTCATTGGCTGGTTGACTCATTGGCTTTGGGTGAAAATTAATGGAGAGTATTTGTGAAAGAAAGATTTCATTAGTCTCAAAGGAGAAATCTGGAAGATTCAGCCTCTCCTTCTGCGTTTAGAAAGCTGTTCTTTAGGTGATCAGCTTTATTTGTTTGACCTGGTAGCTCCATCTGGCTCCAGTTCCTTTCAGTTTTGGCAGCAGCTATTTAAAGTCTCAAACAGCAACTGGCTTGGCACTAGCAGTAATGCAGAATCCAGGAAAAGTATGTTCCTTGTTTGTTATGGTATTAAAACTCTGTTTAGGTTTGATGCTCCCTGCGGCAAAACTTTGATCTCTAGTGAGTCCTGTACATTTAGGGAGCAGTATTGAGTCATATATATTTGTAAGGAGCCTTAACATACCTTTTGGATGACAGCAGCTAATGAAGAGGACAATATTATTTCATTAGAGCAAGTTGAAAATTATGAAGATAATTTTAAAGAAAGAATTGCACTTCTTTGGTTTTATGGGTTTGAAGTGGACCCATTTTCTGCAAAATTTTGGAAGTATTTTTATCCAAATATCACTGTGTGATTTAATAGTGAAGTTATATTTCCTTGATTTAGTTTTAAAATGGAGGTAATGGTGTTTGTAGTAAACAAATCTAAAAGCTTTTCAAAAAACTAAAATATTGTAATATTTTGGTGGCAACTGTATTTTTCTTGCTGCAAGATCAGTTTGAGAAGCCAGCTTTTCACAATAGACAGGCACATATACTTGTAACCATCTGTTTGTTCATTATGCTGCTACTGTCTTACCCTGCTTTATAGTACAGTTTATCACAGTAATGTCTCAACTGTTTCTACAGCATTTCACTTTCAGTAAAGTACTTTATCTGTAGAACTATGGTTTGAAGTAAAATACTACTTAGATGTGTTCAATGAGGAAGAAACTAGTGTCAGGAGTGTCACTACTAGCCACTGTTAAATCTGGTTTTACAACCATAAAACATTAGATAAAGTACTGACAATCCATTTACAGCACATGACAAACCACTGTTTCAGGGGCAATGCACTAGATCAAATGCTCTTGTTATTGGTCATAACTTACTTACCCTGAATATGCTTAATAGTTCTTTTTTGTCAATGCATCCGTTTCCATCAGCATCGTATAGCTTGAAATACCATTTCAATTTTTGGTCAATTTTCCCTCGTATAACCAAATTTATTGCAGCTATGAACTCCAAGAAGTCTATAAATCCGTCCTAAGAGAGAGAGAGGGAGAGGAAAAAACATACCTATTTAATAACATTGGTTTTCTGTTCTTCCTGGCAATTTCACAGAAACAGGTCATCAAAGCCCCTAGAATACACATTGATTTATGAAGCACCTTGACATAGAAATCTTCTGTGATATCAAAAAAGGATAAAAGGATGCACTCAACTGGAAGAGTTATAGGAAGAAGTATTAGGAAGGACAGTTTTGTTCTCCCCTGAAATCCAGGTGTTGTGGAGGTGAGGGGCAAATCTGTTCTGAGCAATTGTTATTGAAAGTTTTTAAAAGGAAAAGAAACAGTTTTGTGGCTGACTGCCACGTGAAAAAGAGGAATTTGGGATATCTGGTTTGGTACTAATGAGATACAGTGGAGTTGTTTACATCTATACTGCAGAACTGTGTATGATTTCCAGAGCTGTTCCAGGTGTTATTCATCTGACGGATCATGTAATAAGTGTTTTAAAATTGTAACCAATACTCTGGCATGAACCCTAAGTACTGTGGTTTATCCAAATAAAAATCAAGTCTCTCTGGTAAACATTTTGCATGGGATACAAAGCCTTCAAGGCAAAACCCAGACTCTAAATATTGAGGATTGAGGATATTCATAGGGAGGACAACATTTCAGATTGATTTCAGATTAATTTCCTTACTGCTTTGCTCAAGCTACTGATAGAAGCTGTCAAGGACAAGCCTCTATAGTCAGGTTCTTCTGTTTCTGTAGAAATGTGGTTAGGATGGAAGAAACAGTTGCTGAATTTGGATCCTACTTGCTCCAACTGGTTCTCATGCGCATTCAAAAAGAATTAACAACAGGTAAATTTAGTCTTGTGATCAGAATCCAACTGGTCAGAATCCAGTTGCTCAGAAAACCTTGGAAAGGTTGTCAGTTTCAGATGGCCTTTGACTGAAAAGAGGAGGTTGGATGCAGTGCGACTCATTGCCAAAATCAGAATCCTAAAGTAATTTAGGTTGGAGAAGACCCTCAAGCTCACCAGGTCCAACAGTTAACCAACAACTACATCATTAAACTGTGTCCCTAAGTGCCACACCTTATATGCCTTTTGAAGACCTCCAGGCACTATCAGTCTATATTTGTGACAAGCAACCAAACATGCAAGCACGCAAAAAATGACAACAAACAGGAATTTATAAGGGCTAGAATATACTGAAATTGAGACTTCTTCTGACCAACCTTCCATTGAAAACAAACCAAAATGTGTAAAACCATTGAGAGGAATAGTTAATTTGCCTTACAAACAAGCTCTGGGTCTGCTGGTGGATAAAACTAGCACTGGGAGATTCTAAAAGAAACAATGGGAAGGAAAGATGGAAAAAGATACTTCCTTTTACAAATAAACTTTAGGGGTTGCTGACAAATTAAATTGAACATTGAAAGGTGAAATAAACAATGGGAAAGAAACCCCCTAAATTCCATAAGAATTAAAATTAAAAGGGAGGATTATACATTAGAGGGAAATCTTTGGTATCAAGTGTATCAGGAAGTCTGTACCTCTCAAGTACCTCAGCCAATGGGGAAAGAGAAAAGGGAAATGTGCCCAGGAAATTAGGATAAAAAGGGAGGCTGCATCCTCCAAAAATTCGAGAGACCCCAGGGGAATGGCATCTCCCTTTATTTGAATAAAGTAAAGGGACTCCTCTGTGTAATTTCTGGACATAAACTTCTAATGTTTGTGGATTAATTTTCCTAACAACTGCGGGCTTGTCTGGGATCTTTCCACCATCCAGTGTGGTGGGCAGTGAGCGGAGCTGAAGGCACGCCTCTCCCCATTTGGGTGATCAGCTCCCCTTGGGGGTAGCTGGCTCCGGGTAATCGACTGGGGTCTGTCCAGGAGACAGACGAGTGGTGGACCAGGGGTTCCATGAAGAGTCCACAGGGAAGGACCACTGAAAATCTCACTGGTGAGTGAAATGGGATCTTTGGGGAGCAAACCTGAGAGGGCACCCATGGAAGGTAGCACAGGTAAACCTGGGAAGGCACCCATGGAGGGTTGCAAGGGTAAAGCCAGGAAGGGGCACCAGCAAAAGGGATGACGATCCAATAATATCCCCAGAGAGTCCCCTGGGGAGAATGCTGAGGTCTTGGAACAGATTATGCATTCATGCAGAGGTAACTATGGAGATCATGGCAAAATATTGTTATTTTGTGTGGCCAGAGTATGAGTTGCCAAGGGGGTATATGTGGCCACCTTATGGAACAGATAGGTGGCCATATATACCCCCTTGGGTATATATATTGTCAAATTTTGTGGAGGTATTTAGAGAAGAATTGCAAAGGATGGATTGAAAGGGAATGTGGATTGATATTGATTAGACAAGCAACAGGAGAAATCTATGTAGTAAGAAAAATGGGAAAAGAGGAAGAAGGGGAGGAAAAGGAAAATGGTGAGGACTGAGATGTTTTTCAGCACCTTCCCCAGTCTTGTCCTGCAGTGTTGCCAGCTGACCCAGGGCCACCTGCAGGCCTCCTGTATCCTCAACTCCCAGTGCTAGGGAAGCAGGGAAATTCTGTTCCTATGGATCCACCTGAGAACAATGAAATCTTGTCCTGCAGTGTTGCCAGCTGACCCAGGGCCACCTGCAGGCCTCCTGTATCCTCAACTCCCAGTGCTAGGGAAGCAGGGAAATTCTGTTCCTATGGATCCACCTGAGAACAATGATGGTGTGGGGGGAGGGGAGAAGCATATTGTATCTCCCCCTAGAACTAGAAGAGGAACTCAATTTAGGACATCAGAAGTCCCCCGGACCCAAGAGACAGGGGTACACCAGATGCCACTCCGCCAAGTTCCTTTGTGGCGTCAAGAGTTTGGGTTTGTAATTGTACCACTTACTATCCAGGGTATAAGAGGGTTGAAAAAAGAATTACCCCCATATTTGGATGATCCCATAGAGGTGAGGGAAAAGATAGAGGAATATTTAGGAAATGCAGATTATACATGGAAGGATTGGGATTTTCTTTTGGGGATTTTGTTTGGGTCATCAGAGAAATGAATGATTTTGCAGAAAGCTCGGCAGCTGTGGGAGGATGAATATCCACAACCAGCAGGGGGTGCGGGACCTAATGTACTTACAGTGGATGATGCCATCCCACAGGCTGACCAACAGTGGGACCAGATAACCAGGCCTGTGTGGCTCGCCTCCACGATTACTGTGCTTATTTGATTAGGGCAATTAAATCAGCCGCTCCCAGAACTTTCAACATAGCTAAGGCTATGTCGTTAGAACAGGAGAAACATGAAAGCCCTTCTCATTGGTTGGAAAGGATTAGGGATGCCCTGTGAAAGCATGTGTGGATGGATCCTGAGGGACCAGCCTTTGACACATTGCTGAAGGTACAGTTTATTACTAAGGCCTGGCCTGATATAAGGAAAGGGGTACAGAAGGATAAAGAGTGGCAAAATAAGCCTCTGGAAGAATTGGTTAGAAAAACACAACAGATACATGTAAGAAGAGATGAGGAAAAGGTTAAAGCTAAGGCAAAGATGATGGCAGAATTTTTGTAGCCCCAGAGAAATAAACCGCAGGGTCCAAGGGGTCCCTCAGGACAGAGGAGATGGGGTCAGCCACAAGGAAGTGGCAGAGCATTCCCTCCCCAGCAGGGGAGAGTCAACCCAAACAGCAGTTAGGGAGAAACCAATGTGCTGTCTGCCGGGCAGAAGGGCATTGGAAAAGGAAGTGTCCGCAGAGACAGCTGGACCCTCAGGAGGAGTAAGTCCAGAGGATAATGGAAATGAATTGTTAGGGGTGTCAGGGGCTCCCATTATATAAAGGACCCACCACTCTGGAGCCCTTGATAACTTTTAAGGTGGGTCCAGATCGGGAGGAGGTGTGTTTTCTGATAGACACAGGGGCCTCTCGATCCACCTTGAATTTTATACCTAAGGGGAGGAAATTATCAAAAAGATCATTGGTTATTCAAGGAGTGAGTGGGAAGGATGAACAAGTGCATTTTATTCAATGCCTATTAATATATATGGGAGACGGGTTTGAAATGCATGAATGCCTCTTTGTTCCTAATTGTGACTGTAATTTACTGGGAAGGGATTTGATGGCTAAAGTGGGAATGCAAATTAGTATTGTAAAAAATGACACAGAGTCCAACACTGTGATATCTTTGTGTAAAATGTCTGAGAAGGCTTATGCTGAAATAAATCCAGAAGTATGGGCAGCCCCAGGGAAATATGGAAAGCTAGACATAGAGCCTCTCCAAATTACTTTGAAACAACCAGGACAAGTAGTGTCTAAAAAGCAATACCCTCTTTCAAGGAAGGGAAAGAAGGGGTTACAGCCTGTTACTGAGTCCCTGCTAAAGGCAGGTCTCTTGGAGCCCTGAATGTCTCCCTATAACACCCCTATCCTGTCAGTTAAGAAACCAGATGGAACCAGAATGGTGCTGGACTTAAGAATAATAAATAAAGTTGTCAAACCAAGGCATCCCTCAGTTCTGGATCCCTATACAATCCTGAATCAGATCCCTTCTTCACATCAGTATTATTCAGTACTGGATTTGAAGGATGCTTTCTGAGGTTGTCTGATTACAGAAGATAGTAAACAGTATTTTGCCTTTGAGTGGGAACAGGAGGAAGAAGGAAAAATGGTAAAGCAACAATTGACATGGGCAGTTCTGCAGGGATACACTGAGTCGCCGGTTTTGTTTGGGCAAGCTTTGCAGAAAAGATGAAGAGAGTTTACTTCACTCTCAGGAGTTAGGTTGTTGCAGTATGTGGATGACTTGCTTTTATCTGGGGAACATGAAAAAGTGGTTGAGGAGGCTACTGTAAATCTGCTTAATTTTCTTGCTAAAAAGGCTCAGAGTATCCGAAAAGAAGGAACAGTTGGTAGAAGAAAAGGTCAAATATTTGGGACACATTCTGACTGAAGGGTTATGCTGTGTTGATCCAGACAGAATACAAGGGATTTTACAAGTACCATTACCCCAGACAAAAAAGGAGTTACAGCAGTTTTTAGGGTTGGTGTGATACTGCAGAGCATGGATTGAGGATTTTTCTGTTGTGGCCAGACATTTATATGACTTTTTGACCCAAGATAGTCCTAATGTCGTGGTATGGACACCAGAAGGGGAGGAAAGCTTTAAAAACTTAAAAGACAAATTGGTTAATTTGTCCCCAGTCTTAGCTCTTCCAGACTGAGAAAAGGAATTTGAACTATATGTGGATGTTAAACAGGGTCATGCTAAAGGAATTTTGGTGCAAGAGCGTGGAGGAACAAGGAGGCCTATTGCTTATTTTTCAAAAATGTTAGACCCGGTGGCCAGAGGCTGCCCTCATTGTCTGCAGAGCTGTGCAGCCACAGCCCTGATGGTGGCTGAGGCCAGAAAGCTGACAAGGGGAGGGTATCTGATTGTTAAAGTTTCACATCAGATTAAAACTTTGTTTACTGAAAAAGTCTCTAAGTGTATGACCAGTGCTCTGTTATTACAGTATGAATCTTGTTTAATGGAACAGGAGGATTTAGAATTTAAAAGTAGGGAAGGGTTCAACCCCGCCTCCAGTTTGAACGGCCCTCGAGAGAGGGGCCAGGAAGAAGCCCATGGCTGTATTCAGGTGATAGATCTCCAACACGGGCTAGGGAAGACTTGCGAGATACTACCTAGCCTGAGGGAGGAAATATGTTTATTGATGGATCTTCAAGGGTGATAGAAGGGAAAAGATTTACAGGATACTCTATCATGAATGGAAGGCAATTAAAGGAAGGGGAGAGATTACCGTCCACCTGGTCAGCTCAGACAGTCTGTGCTCCTGGGAGCCTGTGAATTATACCGGGACAAGACAGTGAATGCTTTTACTGATTCTAAGTATGCATATGGGGTGATACATGCATTTGGGAAATTATAGGAAGAAAGAGGTTTATTAACCTGCAGGGGAAAGACATTAGCTCATGAGAGCTTAATCTCTCACGTATTGGAAGTGGTGAATTTACCCAAAAAGTTAGCAATAATAGGCATCAAGTGGCACCAGGCAGGGTGTCCGGAGGAGGTAATAAGAAACCGACTGGCTGATGAAGAAGCTTGGAAAGCTGCATTGTTGCCAAAAATCTCTAAGATGCTCCCTTTGCTCCCAGTAACTGCACCGCTGCCAGAGAAACTGTCTTTTCCAGCATAGGAACTTCAGATAATTTTTAAAAAGTGGGGCAAAGAGGGGATAATTGGTTTACAAGGGATGGTAAGCAATGGATACCAAAAGCTCTGGCGTTGCAATTGTTAAAACAACTTAATGAAGGGAGTCATTAGGGCTCCCGAGCACTGGCAGAAGCCTTCCTCAAAATGTGTGCTGCTGTGGGTCTTTTTATTCTGGCTGAGCTGTTGAGGGTTGTTTGATTTGTGCTAAAACCAATAACAGAGTTACAAAGAAACTTGCCAGGAGAGGGAGGCCTTGGGCTGTATGTCCCTTCAAGAGCTGCCAGGTGGATTTTACTGAAATGCCCCGAGTGGCAAGATTCAAAGATCTTCTGGTAATAGTATGTCAGTTAACAGGGTGGCCAGAAGCATTTCCAGCTGTTTCAGCAACTACAGGATCAGTTATTAAAGCATTTATGGAACAAATAATTCCAAGATCTGGGATTGTGGAAGCAATGGACTCAGATAGGGGAACTCATTTTACAGGAAAAAATCTTCAAGGAGTTATGACTGCCTTACGGATACAATGGAATCTCCATACCCCCTGGCACCCCCAGAGTTTGGGCCTTGTTGAGAGGATGAATGGAGAGATAAAGAAACACCTCCTGAAACTGGTGATAGAAACTAAGATGCTGTGGGTACAGCTCTTGTCACTGGCTTTGGCAAGAATAAGGGCCAGACCCAAGGGAGATATTAAATTATCTCCCTTTCTCCCTTTGAATTAATGTTTGGAATTCCTTACCCTTGTAATTCTCAGCCTAGTGGTGGTGGGG